GTCTGAGACCAGGAGGTGGAGACTGTGGTGAGCCATGATTGTGCCACTGCCCTCCAGCATGGGCAATGGAGTAAGATCCTGACTAAAATAAGATTAAAAGCAAAGTTCATAATTTCAAACATGAAGTTTCCTTGCATTGCATGGTTAAGTTAGATGCAGGTGGTTTAAGCCTTTATAAGACTATACTGATTTAGGACATATTCTTGTGTTTGACAAAACCCCTTTTTTGCTTTTTCCTTTTTCTTTGTCTTCTTATGGGAGTGCAATGCAAAAACATTTCCAGGTAACTAACCCTAACCCTGGTTAATAGAATTCCAGTTAATCAAGTTTTACTATTCAAAGACTTTTGCTTTAAAAGATTTGTCTCTGTTCCTATGGATGCTGTGATGGTCAAGTAAAGAAAAATTTTATACAAGTAATACTATTTTACAGATATAGACCCCATCTATAAAACTGCTTTTTATAACAAAGGCTTTGCATATATTATATCTGCATCATAGACTAGGAGAAATAAGCAGAGGGAAAAGAGGTTTTATTCTTCTACTTCCTATTATCATTTCTATTTTTGAAAAATAATACTAACAAATTTCCAAAATTACACATTCCAGTAAAACAATTTTTAAGATTTCAGATAAAAGGAAGCATAAAAATAAGTTGCCATTAATGCTGAAATGAAGTTTATGTTTTATGGGGAAAGAAAATCAGGTTGATGAGTGGGTTTTTGTGTAAAGTGGCAAAGCACAGAGTTCAGAGCACTATCTATAGGGCCAACTTACCTGAATTCAAACCCTGACTCTGCCAATTACTAGATGTGTGATTTGGGGTAAGTCAGATAACATATCTATGCCCCAGTTTCCCCATTTATAGAATAGATATAATAGTATTTACCTCAGAAGGTAGTTATAAGGATTCAATGACTAAATATCTAAAAAACACTTAGAATAGTTTCTGGCACATAATAATTTTCATATTGATATTTGTTAAATAAAATCTTTACAACAGTTTGACATACTTGAAGAATGGTGACAATCATTTATTTTATATTACTTCCTCTTGTTAAAGGAATGTATTTTAGAAAAATGGGGAAAATATTAAAATAAGAATTATTTAAGGCAGTATATGCTCACCCTTTGGAAGGTTCTGTATATGTTTAAGTACATTATCCCTATCATTGTACTAAGTAGGAATTAGGAAATAGTTCAGTCTTACAAATACAGAGAAATTACCTATGCTCTCTCTAAAAGTAGCATACATTATAAAATAAAAATTTTAGGCCAGGCTCGGTGGTTCAGCCTGTAATCCTAGCAGTTTGGGAGGCCAAGGCTAGTGGACTGCCTAAGCCTGTGGGTTCAAGACCAGCCCGGGCATCTTGACGAGACCTCATCTCTACAATAAATCAAAAATTAGCTGGGCGTGGTAGCACATGCCTGTAGTTCCAGCTACTTGGAAGACTGAGGCAGGTTCGCTGGAGCCTAGCATGTCGACGCTGGGGTGGCCATGAATGTGCCACTGCATCGTGAATGTGCCTGGGTGTCAGAGCAAGAGTCCAACTAAAAAAAAATAATTGTTAAATATTCCTTTACCATATTCCCAGAAAAAAAATACTACATATTTAAATATTTGTTCCATTATACTAATTATTCCTAACTAACTTTAGTGGTGCTATAAGACACTTCTACCATCTTGCTATACCTTACTATGATATAAGTAGAATAAAATCAAAGCTTGGAAATCTCTTTTTCTGCTTAAAAAAATGTTAAAATGTAAGGATTAAATGTGTTAATGCATGTAACCTGCTTAGACCAGTGCCTGACACATATCAAGTACCCAATAAATATTAAATGTTATTAATAGAAATATTATTGACAGAATCAGTAAGCACCCTCAAAATCTGTATAGTTGACCCACCCAATGACTTAGATTGTGTTCTTTAAGCTCCTCAAATACATCAAAGTTCATTCACCTTCCACTTCAGCTACTCACTTTCATGGTCATGTGCTTTAGGTCTTTATATTTTCCATGTTGTATTGGTAGCAAATTCTAAATAGATTAACTGCCTTGAAGTGTGATTGTTGACTATTCCCTAAATCTCTTTAATGCATTTTCTATATGTTACACAATGAACTTTCTAAAGCATAAATCTGACCAAACACACTCCATGTTATTCCATCTTTCAAGGCAGTATTTACACGTAAACTCCTTCGCATGGAATACAGATTCTCCTGTCCTGAAGGCTGCCTCATCTTCTGTGACTTCTGCTCTCATACACTCTCTTCCAGCCACATTGAACTGTCTAACACTGTAGTTGAACATGCTTCTCCAGCTGCTGAGGGTGCGCTTCCTGTTCACCCACCCCATTCTCAAACACATGTTTGCATATCTCCTATATTCCCTTCAAAATTCAGCTTGATGGTAACTTCTTCCAAAATAAATCAGTCCATCATTAGCAAATGAGGGAGGGAGGGAAGAACAAAAAAAGGAAGAGGAGAGGGAAAGACAAGGGAAGGGAAGTAAAGGAGCTAATAATATTGCTTTCATGTGCATTTTTTTTCTTGTCCTAGATGTAAAAGACAAAAAGTAAAATATACTTATATATAATAAGTCCTTACCATTAATGCTTTTTTCTTTGTTCTTTTGGTTGCTGGCCCAGTTATGATAGTTTTTCAGATCTGTATATCTGTTCAGTGGTTATCTTGTTTTGTTTGTTTCAAGCATATGACCCTGATCAGATTAACTGACAGGATGTATATGCAAAGCCTCTGGAGTTCTTCAGAAAAATAAGCTATCATAATCAGAATGACTTTGTTATAAAGACCCTATTAAAGCTAATGTAGTAGACACAAATTTTGTAGTCACAAATCTCAGGTATAAAAAATTTCATTTTTATATTCTATGTAGACAGAATATATGAGGGGGAATCCCCCAAAAACGGAATTATCATTTTTTGGGGGGGGGAGATAAGCCCCTTGCAGTACAGACTTCCCCCACTAGTAAGTGTTACAGGAGCCCATCAGCATCAGTGTATCAGCTAGCATTGTTGTGAGAGGCTGCATTTGGCTTCAGTTAATTTTTTTTTTTGAGACTTTCAACATGTTTGATCATTTTATGATGGATGATTTACATGTGCACCTGCTCACACAGCACTGAGCGTTCAGCAGGTATTGGCCAAACATGGTATGACCCTGTGCTCCACCCTCCCTATTCACTCCATCTCACCCCAAGCAACTTTTTTGTTGTTGTAGTTTCCCCAGATGAAAAAGGTCTTCAAAGGGAAACGTTTTGCTGATGTGGAAGAGGTGGAATAAAAAACGGTAAAAACACTAAAAGACATCAAAACTGATGAGTTAAAAAACTGTTTTGAGCAGTTGAAAAAGTGTCTTCATAGGTGTATGGCATCAAACAGAATATTTCAAAGGTGACTGAAGTTTAAACATGTAAAAATAAGTATACACTTTTTTATAAATAAATTCCATTTTCGGGGGGAACCCCCATCATAAATAGTCCAAGTCTGGAAGTAGCGAGAGAAGCCAGTAATTCAGGCCACATGGTGAAAGCCATATGTGAGTCCAGGTAAGTAAGTTGCCTAAGTTGCTCAAGATCCAGGAAACAGGTAGTACAGAGAGAAGATGAGGAGACAGGTAAGATATATGCAATACAAATAAGCTCCTTAAGGGGCTGAATGATGTGTTCATTTCTTATCACTAAGCAAAGGGTATGAGCGTATACATAGTAGATATTTAGTAACTATTTGTTAAATAAATAAATACAAGACAGAATAGACTAATACAGTAAATGAGCCAATGAGAAGGGACCATCTAAGTCAAAATAGTCACTTTTTTTTTTTTGAGTTAGAGTCTCACTCTGTCACCCAGACTGGAGTGCAGTGGCCGCTCCTCGACCTGCTGGGCTCCAGTGATCCTTCCGCCTCAGCCTTCCAAGTAGCTGGAACTACAGGTGCGCGCTACCACGCCCGGTTAATTTTTTATTTATTGTAGAGATGAGGTCTTGCCAAGTTACTTTTATTCTTTTACATTGTTCCTACTTTGGCTTCCATAGAAGCAAACTAGTTGACATAAGACAAACCAAGTTGCATCAAAAGTTAAAGCAACAACACAGAAAAAGTTTCTAAGTGGTCCCAATGTTGAAATGACTAGATAACATATAAAAGACATAAATATTCATATATGTATATACTCTGTATTATATACACATACTATATGTAAACATATCTGAATGCAGTTATGGCATTTATATAGTATTATCTCTAATATCTAGTTCCTCTATGCAATGATGTGTAATAATAGCAAGTACAATATGACACAATTATAAAATCAAGACAATAATAAGAAAGGTATAATTTTTACTCTAATTTAAGCATGGATAATCCGACCATTAAGACTGATAAATTTGAACGCAGCCCAATCTGTATTAGATCAAATTGATTCTAATTGTTAAGGTATTAATTTGTTGTAGGATAGTTTTATATTAACATACTTGTCTAGTGTTTGACTGCTTAATAATGTTTTTGAAAAAGAAAATAAATTTTTCTTTTTGAGGAGTGTATTGATTTCTTTAAAAACAGACTTTAATGAAATCAAGTTATTTTTAGTATTTTTCATCATTTCATTCTACATCTGTCTGTTGAACAGAACACAAACACTAAATGGTTTTTAGAAAATCTCTTCATTACAGTTATTTTAGCAATATCATGAGCTACTTTTAAATTCAAAAGTAGGCTTTGCGAGAATGTTGTAAAAACCAGGCCATCTGCTGAGGTGGTCCAGTTACACGTGGCCCCCAGAAGGCGTGTGGCTTACTCTGTTTTCGCACTCCGCTGGATTACAAATACACAAAACAAGCTCACCTTGATCTTTCTCATTAAACATCTCAGGGTCAAAACTTGACATACATCTAAACCTGTGACGTTTTCCTCTAAAGAAGACGGAAATAAAACGGGACGTTGGGTTCGATGACAATAAAACATCAGAAGTGCTAGAAACAAGTCTTGAAGCTCTCTCATCGGGGAAATATGGCAAACAAGGCCTCTCCCCAACAGAACCCAAATCACTGCCCAGCCATCAACAGCAGCATCCCGCTGATGCAGGGCAACCTCCCCACTCTGACCTTTTCTGGAAAGATCCGAGTGGTGGTGACTTTCTTCCTTTTTTTGCTCTCCACAATCTTTAATGCTTCCTTCTTACTGAAACTTCAGAAATGGACGCAGAAGAAGGAGAAAGGAAAAAAGCTCTCGAGAATGAAGGTGCTTTTGAAACACCTGACCTTAGCCAACCTGCTGGAGACTCTGATTGTTATGCCACTGGATGGAATGTGGAACATCACAGTCCAATGGTATGCTGGAGAGTTCCTCTGCAAAGTCCTGAGTTATCTGAAGCTTTTCTCCATGTATGCCCCAGCCTTCATGACGGTCGTGATCAGCCTGGACCGCTCCCTAGCTATCACGAAGCCTCTAGCAGTGAAAAACAACAGCAAGTTCAGACAGTCCATGATTGGCCTGGCCTGGATCCTCAGCGGCGTCTTGGCTGGACCACAGGTAAACCATTATTTATAAACTTATTAGGATATAGCAATCACAGATTTCCTATCTAAATGTGAGTAATGATCTTATCAAAGGAAGTTCTGTATTACCTTTAAGAGCTTGGGCTCTGGAGACCTGAGAGTGAAGTTTATTCCTGGCTCTGCTCTGTTAACTTGGGAAACCTTAACCATTTTTTTTTTCTTTTTCTTCACTTCTCTAGGTTTCAGTTCCTTTATTGATAAAATAGGGGATAATGCTTACTTCATGCTGCTTTTATGTTGGTTAAATGACTAATGCATTAAAATGGCCAACATGATCTCTCGTTAATGATAAATGTAGCTATTCTCAAAATTGACCACTTCTTGTGCTATTCTTCCATTTTCTTCCCCTCCCCCCACCCCCTTGTTGTTGTGGATTTATTTAATGGTTATCTGAGAGAATGTTTAGGAACTATAAAATTTGCATAGGTAGAAAATATTTATGATACTTTTTATTTGGGATTTCTTTAACGGAAACTTTAAGCATTCTATCACTGCAGCTTGGGGAGAATTTATCTTGATTAGTATGTTATTCTGCAGTTTGTAGCTGGATGAGATTGAATAAAGAAGAAAAATGGAAAATCTTGGACATTTAGAAATCTGAATATTTCCCTGAAGTTAGCACAGGCCCTCTCCCATGAAAGACAGACATTTTTCCAGACAGGCTTCTCAGAGACAACCTAGTTAATCAGCCTACAGAATCTACCATTTCAACAGCCAGATCTCTGTAGAAAAGAAGGAGAAATCTTGCAAATAACAAAGATCCTTTAATAACAAATGAACACAGTGTCTCCATGCATGTAAATGTACTATATGATGAACCCGGGGTACAAGGATGCATCAAAAAATTAAACAGAATTAACTAGGATCCTTGCCTCTACAAATGGAAATTCATGTAGACATTCTAACCTGGCCAGATGATTGGAAAAAAAAAAACCCTGCCATGCAAAACTCACTGTATAGTGCAAGACATCAAAAAACTGGGTATAAATTATCCCATCAATTCCTCACTTTTAGATAACTATATTAGATAAATGTGGTATTTTATGATACGAGGAATTATACAAACTAAAATGCTTTGCTCTCCCTGAATAAAAGCATATTATAATTTTTCGCACAGTGACTGAATATATAAGAGTAGGTTTTACAAATAAGTCTCTTGAAATGAGGTGATTTAGCTAAGGCTTATGTTTTTGAAATTTTTCACTTTGTTTCTTTAAACTATGTGTTGTCTATTGGTTGGTTTTCTTAGAGAAGATAAACACAAGTTAAGTTCCTAACACTGAACCTGATGAAACATAGAAACAGGCCTTAAAAAAAAATGTAATTTAGTTGTGGAGATAAAACTTACATAAAACAAATACAACTAGATACTAAAAATGTTTTAAGTGTAAGAAGACACTAGTTTAGGTTGAAATGAAGAAAGATTTTAGAGTAAATCTTTCTGGAACAAGCTGATTTTAAGGCTCGGTAGTATTTAAATTGAAAAATAAGTCAAGCATCACATATTTTTCAGTAATAGTTGAAAAGTGTGACTAATTTTCATTGAAGACTCGTTTGACTGAAGTGAAAGACTGAGAGTTGGAAATAGAGACAAATTAGATTTGGTAATTATTCCTTTTCTTTAACCTTATAACATAGTATTCATTTGTCATAAAACTGTGATCATATGTTTGTTTTCTGTCTTTGCCATTAGAATATACATTTCTAAATGGTGGAGGCTCTGTAGTGCTCAACTTAATTAATATTCATAGTACATAATAAGATACCTAGCAAACATAGAAATTAAGAATGTTTGGATAAATGAATGAATGGATAGTATGATAGACTTATATTATAAAAAACATTGATAGCCATGAAAAATTCTGAAATTAATGTGGGAGCCTTTGTGAGTCCTGTGAAAAAGTTAAATAATCTTTTTAAACAAAAACATTTTTAAGAGAATGCTTGGGAGCACAGGACATACTTATGATGTCTTATTATCCAGAACAAACAATAAAATCATATATACATTTTTTGTAGCTACTAACTACTGGAAAAAAAAATTCTTTAAAGAAAATAGGCAAGAACAAAGTGCTGGGAGATAAAGAATCTTTTCAAATCATTTGGCAATTAAGTGATTACATTGAGGACTAGGGTGGTATCAGAGAGAATTAATAATACAAGGAGCCGGGCTCGGTGGCTCAGCCTGTAATCCTGCGCCTTTGGGAGGCTGAGGTGAGTGGATTGCCTGAGCCCGCGGGTTCGAGACCCCCCTGGGCAGCGAGACCTCATCTCTACAATAAATCAAAAATCAGCCGGGCGTGGTAGCGCATGCCTGTAATTCCGGGTACTCTGAAGGCTGAGGCTGAAGGCTGAGGCTGAAGGCTGAGGCGGAAGGATCACCGGAGCCCGGCAGGTCGAGGCTGCGGTGGCCGGAAGCGGCCACTGCACTCCAGTCTGGGTGACAGAGTGAGACTCCGACTCAAAAAAAAATAATAATAATAATACAAGGAACATTTTGAACAAAAACAAGGTCTGGCAACAAATTGGATTAAAGGAGTTAATAACAGAGCAGAAGAAAATAAAGTTTCAGTATTTTTGGCCAAGGGGTTTGAATAATTAAAATCATTGAAATAGTCAGGTTAGCCGGGCTCGGTCGCTCAGCCTGTAATCCCGCGCCTTTGGGAGGCTGAGGTGAATGGATTGCCTGAGCCCGCGGGTTCGAGACCCGCCTGGGCAGCGAGACCTCATCTCTGCAATAAATCAAAAAATCAGCCGGGCGTGGTAGCGCA